TCCAGGATTCACAGTTTTCATCTGTCAAACACGCAAATGAATTTCCTAACATTATTATCTCATAATCACACACATGCCGCATAGAAGTGAAAGCTGCATTACCGTAGGTACGACAGTACCTAAAACACACCCAATAATCTTAAGTAACTAAACAGGGAACTAAGGCGCTAAGCAACCAACGAAATTTCTTATGCCATACGTTAGCCGAAGTAGTGTGGATGAATGCATATTATCGCCTGTCGTGTACAATGGTAAGTGGCGTAAGAGCTGTTGACGAAAATGGAGTTTTGCTTGATTGGAGCCGATTCCATCAATAGGGCGTGGTTAATCGCAACGAGATCTTCGGTCTTGCAATTACTCGTTCCGATTATCTGCATCCAATTTAACTTCATATTTGCATTTGAATTGCGCAAGCAGGAAATATCATTACCAAAACGTGGCTGTATTTAAACATATTCAGTTTGTTTGTGGGAAGGTTAGTAAAAATTCCAGTTGAGTGGACTGCCATTTCCAACTTAATATTGAGTCAACACTTGACATGTCCAAGAAAAATTGGCTTCTATATGTTGCTCTTCAATTTACGAACAATGCCTCAACTTACTCCACCAATTCATCACTGTGCACAGGTTAATGGTCACACTCTAACTTCTGCGTCAATGCTGATCGCACCCAAAGTAACATGCCGTACCTCTGAGGTGACTATTCACATTCCTCATATTAGGCGAGCCATGCTGATCGTATGAGTTTAGTCGTGGAACAAAGGACTTCATTCTGACGATGAATACAAGAAGTCAATATTCCACTTATATCTTCTGTTGCAATTTCTCTACCCCTGATCTCCAATGACACAATAATTTACAAGGAGATAATGTTGCATCAGCATGTAGTGGTGCATGGACGTGGGCGAAGATGGGGCATTGCATGCAGTTGCTGCAAGTGTGTTGAAGTCGACTGATAGGAGCTGCTGTTCGCTGAGTGGCAGAAGCAACACCCACGCATCCACTATCGCTATATAAGTTGACAGATATTAAATTGGAGCACACTGAAATCAGTCGCGTCATGGAACTCTCCAAAGTCAGTCTCGTCTTCTTACTTACTGCCCTCGTGTTTGCCCATGCTTGTAAACATAGCCCACCACCGACAATCACGGCAGCCC